CCCCCCTTCCGGGACAAAAACCGGACCTTTTGGGGCCTAGTAGGCCTCTCTGAAGCCTTCTGGGAGCACACACACACACACACGGACAAAAACCGGGCCTTTTGGGGCACCCCCCCCCTTGTACATGCCTGCACGTCTCCTGCATGCGCCCCTCCCCCTGCACATGCACAGCAGAGTCCTGAAAACCAGCTGGCCTGCGGGAGGCACGTGTGCATGAGCGATGGAGATGAGCTGGGGTGATGGCTCACGTGTCCACAGAGAGGGCGCTGCATGCATGCCACCTCTGGCAGGCATATGCCATAGGTTCGCCATCACAGGTATAGGGCTTTATGCTTGAGCAGGGGGTTGGATAGAAGACCCCCCAAGGTCCCTTCCAATTCTGTTCTTCTGCTCCTCACCTGTGTTTCTTGGCTCTTAAAATTGCACCAGCCGTATTGTGCAACTCTAAAATATGCCACCGGGGTTAAGATCTCTTTTTATTTTTGCATTTTATTTCACATCACTTGCTCTTCTCAAGCCTCTTGCCCTAAATTTTGTTCAAATCTCACAGATCCGGGGCTCCAAGCTGTTTATTTTAAATCAAGCAGATTCTGAGTCTCTTCCAGCCAGTTTCAACTCTGCCTTTCTTGCATACATGCTAATAATAATAATTTTAAAAAATCCATGGGATAAATTTCTGCAGCATTTTTTGATGTCAGTGCTGGGAGTTGGGTCCGTGTTTGTTCACGCTAGCCACAGGCTGCGTTTCTATACATCCTGGATGAATTATTGAAGTGGAATTCCCAGCTGCTTTCGCAATGGGCCGATATAAATCTTTTGGCTGGATATCTTTCATTGTCTTTGCATCAGCCTGTTATACAGGATGGGGCAGCCATCTTTCTGGCTGCTTCCTTATTTAAGTAGCAGGTTGGTAAACAGTCATGTTCCTACCTAGGTTGCTAGTTCTCTTGTGAATGGTTTGCAGCCTGGCCTAGAAAAAGTTTATAGAAAAGGAGAAGAGGAGATGTAGATTGCTTGGCTGTTTCCAGAGCAAAGGGCTATTCTTGATTTTCATTCATTCATTGTTTTCTCCTGTTGGGAGAAATGCCCATCTGGGTTCAGTTCCAAGTGTGGAAAAAGACACTGGAAACACTTGGAAAGATGGTTTAATGGTGGTCAGGACCACATGATTTGAGGTCCTGGGGGAAAAAGGGAAGATATGCTGGGTTTTTGTCTGAAACAGTATAGGGTTTCCTGCCTAAGCAGGGGGTTGAACTAGAAGACCTCCAAGGTCCCTTCCAACTCTGCTATTGTATTGTATTGCATTGTATTGTATTGTATTTGTATTTGTATTGTATATTATTGTATTGTATTGTATTGTATTGTATTGTATTGTATTGTATTGTATTGTATTCTATTGTATTCTATTGTATTCTATTGTATTCTATTGNCTTTTTGTACTATGCTTTGGTTTTGTTGTTCCATTATCTCCATTCTTTTTTCCATACTCTCAGATTTCTTTACAAGAGTGTCTAGCTTGTCATCTCTACTGTCAAGTCCTGCTTGTATTTTATGTATCGCTTGCATGATTGTCTCAAAGTTTGCTCCTTTCTCTTTTTCTTGCTGAAGCATTGGCTGTATCCTCTGGCCTTCCGCAGGTGGGGGGGCAGAAGTTGTTGTTGTAGAGCCAACAGGAGCTGCTTTTCTACTCATAGTCAGCAAGTTTTGGAAGGTGTAAGATTATAAGTACGATGAGAAAAAGACATAAGAGACAGAAGGAGGGGGAGAGTGGAAGTCTGACTTAAGAAAGAGGGTTAAAAAAAGAGAGAGAAAAGGGAGAGGGAGAGAGAGGGAAAGAATAAGGAAAGAAAGAGAAAAAAAGACTCTTCAGTCTAGTTTGTTCAAAATTTAAGGTGAGCCATCCATTGATGTCCCAATGTCTTCAAAAAAAATGCAAAAAGAAAACATAAGGTAAGAAAAGAAAACCCCCAAAAAAGAAAAAACAAGGATGCTTCAAACCACAAAAAAAGAAAAAGAATGTAAGTAGTAAAAAAGTCAAAAAGGATAATAAAAAAAAAGAAAAAGGTCAATATCTCCCGAGCAGAATAATATGAAAGTAATGTAAAAAAGAAAAAACTGCCACCAAGCTAAAACAAATAAGTTCAGTCTTTCCCCCCCTCCCTAAGATAAAAGTCTTTCCAAGGTCATTCTCAGCTTCCTTTGCTGCTTTGTTATTTAGTCTGAGGCAAAGTTCCAGATAAGGAAGAGCAGCAGCTCTGTAAATAAAGCCTTTTTTTTTTCAAAGTCAGATAAATTACAGGGGAAATTTTGGTAACAATATTTCAAGTCCACTAGATGGCAGTATTAGCTTGTATTAACTTGTTAGTTTGCATTAACTCAGTATTAAAGCTTCTGTAACTTTATTTACAAAGAAAAGAAAGTAACAAGGATTACTAAAAAGCAACCAAAAAGCTAAAAAAACAGATCTTCAGAGCACTTTAAGTTTAAATTCAATGTCCCCACAAGGTCCAAAGTTAAAGATATTAACGGTAAAAAGAAAAACACAGAAAGCCGATTTGAATTGCAAGAAAGTCCAGCCCGGTTTCCAAAGATAAAAAGAGAAACAGGAAAAATAAAAAATAATCCTTCAATTGGCAAAGCTTATACCCACCACTTTTCTCACTAGTCAGCCTTATTTTAAACTAAGTTTCCAAATTTAGAGTGTTCTCTTTCCAATAAAAAAAAAGATTTTACAATTCTCACCAACTGACATGTTCTTATCCAGTCTCTTTAGGGCTGTCAGCAGTTTCAGTAGCCTTGCGGCTAATCCGGAAGT